GTTTATTATAGGTGCCCACTCATAATTATGGGCACGTGATTTGTAGGCCACTCACCGCAAGCAGCTTAGGGTAAATTATATTAATCGCGCGACAGATTTCATGTTCAGATTCGAGCCGAGTGGCCACGCTCAAGTTCAATGCACCCGGCGTGAGGTAGAGGCAGCGTGTTGCATGTCGTGTCGCGGCGCGGCGCCTGCACTACACGCCCATAATCCGAACTGTGTCAATCATTAAGCAATTTTGCATGTTCTTGTCGCCCCGTCAGGTTAAATACTCGATAGTGCAGCAACCGAATCAGAAGGGCACCAAATTCACCGTCGACGAGGAAACGGGCGAGGTCTCCACCAACAAGGTGTTCGATCGTGAGGGAGACGATGGCAAGTTCGTCTCGGTGACTGTGAAGGCCACCGATCAGGGCGACCCCAGCCTGGAGGGCGTCTGCTCGTTCACAGTGGAGATAACCGATGTGAACGATAATCCGCCGCTGTTCGATCGACAGGTGAGTTTTTATAGAGAATCCATCGGATTTGGGCATTGATGTGAAATTTCTTTGCTACGCTTGCAGAAATATGTGGAGAATGTCAAGCAGGATGCCAGCATTGGCACGAACATCTTGCGTGTCTCCGCCTCCGATGAAGATGCCGACAACAATGGCGCCATTGTCTACAGCCTCAGTGCGCCCTTCAATCCCAACGATCTGGAATATTTCGATATACAAGCCGAGTCCGGCTGGATAGTGCTCAAGAAGCCGCTTGACGTAAGTGTTTGATTTCCCATCCACATATACATATATGCCCTATTCTATTCGTTATAATCTTTTATGTTTGCGAACCCAACTAACCAAGTTTTATGATTTACATTAAAAAAAAGAAAAAAAACAATGTGAAAAGTTCTTTAAAAATAAAAACAAACTTTTTGATTTCCCTTACTAACAATTGAAAGCTGAGCGCTTAGCGCCGCCAGAGTCAGAGACCAGAGCAATAACCAAAGAGCAGAGATTTTAATTATTCAGTTCTCATTATGATTTTAAATGCACCTTTCTTTTGTTTGAGAGACTTTGTGCAAAGCTCTGCCCCCTGCCCCCTCGCCGGCTATCAATTGCAACGTTTTTTTACACTCTCTTGATAGCCACAGATTCGAATTCGATGTGCGAAGCAGTGCAAGTTTTTTTTGTCACATTCGAACAAAAACAAATAAATAAATGAAAAAAATATTTAAGTTATATATAAGAAAATGCCATATATATGTAGATATATATATTTAATATATATGTGCTTTACTTTTCAACTTTTGAGTTAGTTTTCTATTGATTTTGTCAACTTTTTTTGTTTAGTTTATAGTGCGTAATTGGCTCAATTCAATCCAAGCAAAAATGCCAAGCGAATTGATTTTTAACATTTTTTGAAACAAATTAAACAAGTACACAAACAAATTAAATTCAATCAAGAGGAACAAGAGGGTATGCCAATAAGTACACTGGGTAAACATAGTCAAGCAAATGGAAAAATGTGTATAAAAAAAAGCTTTTAACTGCCAGCTGCTGCTTTTATTTATTTTTGTGGTGTTAGGTGCCTACGACTTAAGCCAATGTAAAAAGAACATTCAAAGAAAAGTGGGTAAAGTTAAATACGTAATAAGGGTAGACCCTACCGAACGATCACGCCTATTTTTGAGCATCGTTGTGCAATTTTTGATGGCTAAAAAATAAACAAGAACAAAAATCATAAAACTACAAATACTTTTTTAACAAATTGTAGCCTGATTTTTATTGCAAATATATATATTGCAAAGTCAAAAATATATATATTTTTATTTTTTATTTTTGCTAACCCTAAAATAATCCCACACTAAACCCCATCCCATAAGCAACATGAACAAAAGCGAATTAGATTAAAAGGTTTTTTGTCGAGACTATGCGATTTTTTGAAGGTCTCTAGAAAACAGCTGTGTAAATTTATTTATACATATCTTCCTTTTAATTTTGATTTTAGCCAAAGCAAAAAAAAAAAAAAAAGAAACATTTTTCATATCATCCAACTGAAAGTGACGCATTTTTGCATGCCCATGTCAAATGCCCGTCAATATTTCAATATTTTTTTGTAATATACCAAAGTTTATATATTTTATATATATAAATCCATCGACTAGGCAACGTTTCTACATATATATAAATATGTATATATGTATATATTTAATTTAACTGCACCTTTTACAATATATGATTTACATTGATTTCAATTGTTTTTGTTTACAACGAGTTCAGCTCATTGAGGCGAGTTAATGTTTTCTGTTTCTTTTTGATTTTCCAATTTACATATGAAACGATGTTATCGATAATTAATCGAAACTATTCAATAGGGCTGTTATCCTGTAAGTAATCGACATACGTTATTTGTGAAGTGTCTGTTATAATCTTTGCCGTTATACTGTGCTAACCCAGCAACAAATTCTATTTCGCTCACCAAATCGTAAGCTAACCTCTATTAGAAACTAACCTTCTGTGGGAACTTTCACAGAAGACTCCAATAGTTCATGTTGTATATAATCATAACACATATCTATATCTGGATTTTTAGCTAGCAACGCTAAAGGACTGTAAACCTTTACTTAACATAAAAATCTATCTAGTCCTGCTGTTAGCAACATTCAAGCAACATGAAACTTAACAGAAAACACTTCATCATCGTTTCTCTCGATCAAAGCAAGCAATAGTCTCGTCAAGATATCCAAAATTATTTCTAAGTATCCCATAATCCCATAATTAACGTCTAAAAATATGTTTATCTGCAAAATATTGCTAACCAAGTGAAGAACCCCTCCCATCCTTGCTTAATCCTTTCAAAATAAATAAAAGCTTTTATCATAATGATTCCCAAATATTTATTTACATAATTTCCAAGTACTTGACAATTTTCATTTGATTTATGTTTGACATATTAACTAATTATAATGAAAAATTCAATTTGAATTCAACATAACAACGATGCCATATAAAATACGTAATCGTAACGTAACACGCACACTAACTACGTTTAACCCAATACACAAACCATATACGACCTAAACTAACACACAATGCCGGCTAACATTTGTGGCTAACACGTTTGGCTGTTAACAACTACTGTATCAAATTCTATGAAAACAAAACTCAATCGAATCGCTCCATCAACAGCGCGATCGTTATCGTCTACGGGTGCGCGCCTCCGATCGCGGCGATCCGCCCTCATATGCCGACGTTGATGTTGAGTTAGATGTCGTCGATCGTAATAATAAGCCACCCATTTGGGATAAGAGCATTTATGGGCCAATCCATATACGCGAGAATGTCACTGTGGGTACGGTTGTAACATCGGTTAAGGCAAGGTTTGTATAGCCAACACTACACTACACATTAAACAACTACATACACTCTACACTACTACCAAAAACATAACGAAGCCGAGTTGAAGTTGCTAACAAACAACAAAGCCTAACAGCTGTTAGCTTAACATACTTAGTCATTATTTTTTCCATATATATGTAACAGCATTTTTAGCTAACATAGGCTTAAGCTTCCGAGTTTGAGCTCGTTTCAACGAGTTGCATTTACGTTCACGTTTGGATTGTGTCTTTGCTAACAAGCTTACTCAACGAAACGTAATGTACGCTCGCTTAACGAAGCTTTGCTCACTTAACGAAATACCATAGCTGTAAGCTTTTCCAGTACAAGTATTTTTAACATACGGTCTCTAACCGTTTACCGTTTACCGTTTACCATCTCTCTCGTCTAACATTTAACATTTTGAACTAAACCAATTTTTACGATACAACTTTTTGTGGCTTATCGTAAAAGCTCAAACATTTTTGCCAACCATCAACAGTGTCGAAATCCGTTCAAAAATCTGACAAGAATACCAGAGAAAACCCAAAGTCAACGAAATTCAAAATCAAATGCTGTTGTTGGTGTTTGTTTGGAGAGCAAACTTATTTTTGTTTTGTCGGGTACTTTTGCATTTTGCTGCAACTCTCACCCACCTAACCCAATACCCATTGGAATTGCTTACCCAACAAATACTCTCGACTTCTTTCCCCACCTCTCTCGCTGTCTCTCTCTCTCTCTCTCTCTCGCTCAGTAAACAAAAACCCCACACTTGGTTAAAAGTACTGCTCGAACTGTAACTGTAAACTGAAGAATTTTGGTGTTGGTTTAAATTGGGGGAAATTCGCTGAATTGGGAAACTAAAAAAAAAAATTAAACATAATGAAAAATTATTGAATTTTATACAAGGTTGCAGTTTAATTTAAGGCTATAGGAAACAACAAGGTAATTACGAAATAAAAAAAAAAAAAACAAATGCTTAATATAATATATATATATATATATTCCACAAAGTGTTCAAAAATGTTAAAAAACAATAGTCGAAACACGAAATGAAATGAAATTGCAATTTATTCAAAAAGTATGCTATGAAAATTGTAATACTCGAAATGCACAAAGCCCTATTTTCAGTTGAATTTCGTTATGCCAAGTTTAGTTTGATGATATTCTTATCTTATCTGAAATACTATTATACCATTATACTCTATAAATAATAACTAATTATTATATATTTGTATTTATTTACGCTCAACTGAGTTAATTAAACATATGTATGCCCATTTTTTTAAATTTAACAGCGAAATATTTTAACATATTTTAATTCTAAAAACATTTTGAAGGCTAGGGTCGAGACTTCATTAAAAATATAAAAAGAAAATAATGAAAAATAATTTGCACTGCAATAAAAATTAATATAAAACCTTATCTGACAAGGCGCCAAATCTAAAGAAACTAATTTCTAGTTTCTCCAAAAATTTGTTTTGATTTTTAACTTCTTTGAAAAGGTGTTGGTTCTATCTATAATTTTGATTAACTAAGAAAAACCTGTTGCTTACATTTTAATGGAAAGTTTTTCTTTTTCCTCTGACCAACTATAACTACAAATTTTATTTTGAATTTTGTCAATTTTTTTTACCTAAAACATTGTCGACGTGTCTGTGTTTGTTTGTTTTTTTTTCCAAATGCTCGCTTGATTTTGTATTTTTGCAAACGAAACCATAAAACTATCGCTGCAATACAATACTATCGCATTCAAAATACAGCGCGAGACATACAAATTAGAGGCGATGGCCCAAGACAAGGGCTATCCGCCATTATCGCGTACGGTCGAAGTGCAGATCGATGTGGTCGATCGTGCCAACAATCCTCCCGTTTGGGATCATACCGTTTATGGGCCGATCTATGTCAAGGAAAATATGCCCGTTGGCGGCAAAGTCGTCTCGATCAAAGCCAGGTCTGTTAGTTGCAATGTTTTCAAAAACAATCTAAATACAAATAACAAAATATCAACAAAAAAAAAAAAAATCATTTTAAGGAAAAAAGTTCATTTTTTGCTTAGTTTATTTTGATAAAGCTGCATTAATATACATTAAGCATATATTTATTTTCTAGGTGTTGAGTTTTTATTGTTTTCATCGAAAAATCATTTTCCATTAAGATTCCTTTTTTTAATTTTTGGTGTTGGTTTTTCTCATCATACTTTGTAGCTGTTTATGTGTGTACTGAATGTTGTAGTTCTCTCTCTCTCTTTGGAGAGTTTTGAGCGTGAGCTAATGATTGTGTTTATGTATATATATCTTTTATATATATATATATTTTATTTGGTTCCCTCAATCATTTGCTCACGCTCAAGCGATTTCTAGCTACCTTTTGACACCCTTAGTCCTCCTCCCCATCATCACCGCTCACATCCACTTTACAAGCACCAAAAACTTTGCACAACTCACACAAGCTGCACAACTATATAGACTTATATTCAATTTTCATTTTTGTCTAGACTGAGTATACATATATGAAAAAGAAAAGCTGTATATAAATTGAAAAATTAGCGCCTAAAATTAATTCAACTTTGGTTTAGTCATTATTATTTTTTGTGATTCGGCTGAATATGTTTAATCAAATGTGATTAAACTTGGCAAAATGCTGTATATAGTTTTTGTTTAACTCTGACCCCTGTCCAGTCACAGAAGCAGAGAGAGTTGAGCTAATGCAAGACGTAAAGTTTGCTCAAATAAAGTTTTATTTTGTGTTTTTATAATTGCAATTAAAAACTTGAAGTAGCGCACTTAAATGACTTTTGACTTGGCTACTCTGAAGCCCCCACTCCCCCTCTCTCTATGTCTCTCTCTCTCTCTCTCTGTCTCACTGTTTATCTCTCTCTCGTCTGCTGCTGCCGCATTAACATAACGCTCAGCGTTGTGGCAAGCCAAACACATGGCACTGACGTTTTAATTATGCGTCACTTTTGTGGCCACGGGCAGTCGGTGCTCCCAGTTGAAATTCTTCTTCTCCTTTTTCTTCTTCTTTTTTTTTCATCTACCTAGTTTCAGTTGGTTCGTTTTCTTTTTTATTGTTAGCACTAAAAGCAATGCACTTAAAGCGTCATATACATATACATATGTATACAGTATATATGTATATGTAGTGTATATATATATTGCACATACGCACCGTGGCATCGACACCTGCACCAGCACCCGCACCTGTGTTAGTCTTAATGCTCTCCAAGTAAATTTCATTTCTATGCCAAGTATTTAAGCAATTTGCCAACTATTAAACGTGCTTGGGTTACTTTGAAAATACATTTAAGCGTAAAGTAAATGAGCTAAGAAAATATATTAATTTTCATTCTTGATTTCGACGTCTTTTTGTTTTTTTACTTTACTTTTTTCGGTTTTTGCAATTATCTTGTCCCAGCACAAAATTGTCAACTTTATCTACAACTCCAACTATATGTATAGATAAAATACATGTGTACATGGCTAGCCCATGTACATATGTATGTGCGCGTGTGTTTACTTTAGCCAAGATGCTATTAGGCAAGTGTTTGCCCGCCCGCAGGACTGGGCTGAGTTTTCAAGTGCGCGTATCTCATAATAAATGTGTTTGTTTTTAGTCCTCTTCCTCTTCTTCTGCTTCTCCTATTACTGTTGCTGTTGTTGCTGTTGCTGTGGTTTTAGTACGCTTAATGCGCGCACTGTCAAGTGTTTGCCGAGTGTAACATGCATTTAAGCAGGCAACAACGACAACAACAACAGCAGGCATAATAACGATACGCGTTGCAGGCGCTGAGAAAAAAAAAAAAAAAAAAAAATACAGGGTCACACTTAACGATAAATTTATTATCTAGCAAACTAGTAGTTAACTTGTATAAATATATAAATATTTGTACATACACATATGTATACACATATATGTATATATGTATGCTCTGTTCACATAATAGTTAATCGAGATCTATTTAGTTCTATGTCTGAGATTTTTTGCAAAATTTTGGCTGCAACTTGAGTAAATCTGAGGCTTAAATAATTTTGTTAAAATATTTATAATGAAGCTTGATGATTTCTTACCTAAAATATAAATTTTCTCAACCAAATTGAGTAAAATCCAATACATCAAAAAAATTTTGCTACAGTCTTAATATCTAAAAATTTTCCGAATAAACATATATTTTATTTTGAAATTGAATTAGTTATGGCAATTCGAACTCTTAGAGGCCTTTATAAAATTCGAAAACAAATGCTTAGAGCTCTGTTTGCCTTCCATTACATTTAGTTGCCTTTGAGAAGGTCTATGACCTCCATGATTTCTAGCTGAGAAGAAATAATATGAGCTAATGCCTAAAATATAAAGCTGTATAACTATAAATCTTTACACCAAACAAATTATTTATAGACAAGTCGACAGATAGTAATGAAATAAATAAACGAAAACCACTATTTTTTCCCAATGAAATATTTTTAACATAATTAAATATTATAAAAAAAAACTCATTAGTTTTAAATATTATATCTTCAACGAATTTCAGTCATTATATTCTGTAGCCCATTCAGGTGGGCTATAAAATAAAATAACTGAAATCTCTGAGCTCCTGACACAGACATTGAATTTCAGCCTTAGATCAGTCCCCTCACCTGGACTGTGTGAACAGAGTATTAAGCAGTTGGTTCTCATCAGCTGCAAGGATTTTTCTTTTTCCTAATTTATGTTGAAGTTTTTCGTTTTTCTTGTGGTGCGTCTAGCCACGACTATAGATCTACAAATATTAGATAGTCTTAGCATTTTAGGTGCCAACTGCAAACCAGGAGAATCAAGTGCTCAGATTACCAAACACAATACACTGAAAAAAAGAACGATTTACACTGAACGAAAATTCACATCAAAGACACGAAACTAGTTTTGTTTTTGCAATACAATCGACCAATACCAATTGATATATATATACACATACATCATACACACACACACACACAGAGCAACACCTACCTACATGAATTATATATAAATGCCAAACATGTTCATGCAATCCACAAATTCATTCCCAACCAAAACCGAAATGAAAAGAAGTAACAAAATATGAAACTCCCCTCCGCCCCCCTCACACACTCAATTTTTTGCAACCGATTTTTTGTGCGCAATATATATAGATATATGTGTGTATCATATTTATATATATGCTTTTTGCGCTCGCCCTTGGCAGCAACATTTTTGCGCAGTCTGACAGATTTCTTGCAACAATTTTTTGTTTTTTTTTTTTTACCCGAGTATCAAAAGTTTCTCATTTAATTTTTTGCTCGGGCTCTACAATCTGTTCTCTTTTTCTTTTTTTACTCACTCTCCTCTGTCAGCTGCAAGTGTTGTCCAAGTGCAAATAAAATTTATTTTGTTTGTTTGCTCCCTTTGCCTAATTTGTTTTTCATTATCTGCGCCTCGCCCACTGTACACACGAAAGCAAACAATCATCATCTGCTGTCGCTGTCTACAGTCTCCCACCTCCCGCCTCCCGCCTCCATCCACTGTTGGCCAACCCAGCCTAGAATTTGCTTCAACAACTTTTTGACACTCGAATGGCAATTAAATGTTTTTGAAGCCATTTTTTCTTTTCTGTTTTGACGCCATCTTTATTTTCTCTGAGCGAAATTTTCTCGGCTTTTCCCTGTTATTTCGCCACTTCTTTTCTTTGTGTTTTATTTGCACAAAAAAAAAAACGGAAAATCTACAATTTGAAGTGCAATTTTTGGTTGTTGTTATTGTTGTTGTTGTTCTCCTGTTGAAAGTTGTTGAAAACGAAATTTTTGCTATTCTTTTGTGTCGTAAATCAAATTTTTTTGTATTTTGATGTGTCGCATGTGTGTGAATGAGTGTGCGTGAGTGTGAGTGTGTGAGTGAGTCTGTCACGAATATAGAATATCGTTAACTGTTAATTAATTTTGTTTATTTTTTTGTTGCCTCCAAGCATTTTGTTGCCTGGATGCAAACCCCAAATAATTTCATACTCATTTGATTTTTGAAATGCCAACAAGTATCTGAAGACATTTGTAGCATTAACTCATCATATCTAACTCCATATACTATATATCATATATCATGTAGTTCATTCAACTCTTTTCTACACTAACAACTTAACTAACTTAACTAACTAACTGTAACGGCACATGAATCGAAAAAAAAAAAACATTTACTCACATAACTCTTCTCTGTTTTGCATCGGGCGACTCAACGTCTGCAGTTCCGGCATCGAGGGCAATCCAACGGTGTTCTATAGGCTAATGCCCGGGTCCACGGCACAGACGAACAAATTTCATACGTTCTATCTGCAACAGAGACCGGACAATGGCGACACGTGGGCGGACATTAAAGTCAACCATCCGCTGGACTACGAGAGCATCAAGGAATACAATCTGACCATACGCGTGGAGGTAAGTCGGAGATCAGCTTGAATTTGACAAATTCCATTTCCATTTCAATTTCTATTTCTATTGCCATTTCTATTGCCATTTCAATTTCAACTTTCAAGTTCAGTTCTTAGTTGTAAATTGTTTGCTTAGCATGAGACCCGAAAAGAAAAGCAGCAAAGCTGGAAAAGTTCTTCGAGTTTTCAAGCGCTGCTGCGCTCAATTAAGCTGTATTTGACTTTTGCATTTGGAAACGACTTCAAAATACGTTTGTAATTATTTTATTTGAAAAGTTTTAATTACTTGCACGAGTTGAAAGGCACGACATCGGTGCCTTCTCTCTCCCTCTCCCTTACTCACCCTCTTCCTCTGTCACTCTCTGGCAAGCAATTTGACTATGAACCGCGCTTCACTCTGATTTAGTTCTGGCATCTGGCAATTGAACAGCTGATTGACTGATTGACTGATTGACAGACAGACGGAGTGCGAATCGCAATTGAATTTCAATCAGTGCCGGCACACACTCACTCTCTCTCCCTCTCTCTCTCACTCTCTCAGTCTTTGACCATATCTATCTCTAATGCAGCTCATTAGTGCGGCCATTCAGCAATGCTGAAATTATTGACAAATTGTTTCAGCTGCTCAAATAAATTAAAACATGACCAGCAGCAGCTGTGGCGCGCCAATGCTCCCGCTGCTCCAACAAATGCCACAAATGATGTGCTACCAGCTCCCAAAGGCCACGCATCTATATATGGCTGGCTGTTTCACTCTCTCTCACTCTCTCTCTCTCTCTCTCTCTCTCTCTCTCGTGCGCTCTCTGCGTGCTATTAAAATTCAATTCGCAATTCGCATTCGCATTAAATGCAGTTAATTAAACATCCCACGACATGGCATTAGTGCACATACATACATATATGCATATATATATATAGTTAGATCTATCTCTAATGCACTTTTTTGCCAAATGTCGTCAACATTTTCATATTAATTTTTTATTTCATTTTTTTTTTCAAGTTTTAAATTTTTGCGGTTTGCCATTCACATGCATAAATAAATTCCAAATTCTTTGCAAATTTTAATTAGAAATTTTGCGTAAAAAATGTTGTAATAGAAATAGTTTTGCGGTTAACTGGAATAGTTTGTCGCATTATTTATTATATTGAAAAGCAAAAAATGCCATGAACTTTTTGCTATTGAATTTATTTAATTACGGAAAATAATAAAAATTAGTCTATGGTAATACAACTTTTACTTAAAGTTCTCTTATATGAAAAGCACGAAAATTTGAACTTTGTCTTCATCTAACTCATCTCTCTATCACTATATCGATTGCTAGCTCTATTGGAATAGATTTAACGTTGTTTACTTATGCAAACAGCTCAATTTGCCTGTTCAAACTTTGTCATACGAGCTTCCAGTTGCCTGAACAAACTCTAATTAACTGGAAAACTGGCAAATTAATATTTGGAAACTAAAAAATAAATAAATAAAATCAAGTAGAACAAGTAAAGCCATTGCCGTTGGGTCTTACCGACTGTAGAATACACATTCACGGCTCAAGCGCTACCAGATTCATTTTCCGTTTTGCCACGCCCCTAAAGAGAGTTGTTAACCTCAGCACACATTCCAAATATTTTCTAGCATTTTCATGATACCATAAAATGAAACTTTCACTTTATCACGCCCCCAAGTGGGTGCATGGAAAAGATCTGTGCACTAGAGCTCGAGGGTATAAATGGGTCTAGCTTCATTGGCGCTCACATCCATAAGAGTAGACAGATGGATAGCCAGACAGACATTGCCCACAACCGAAACACTCATTTCACTCTCGTGAATGCGCATAAAAACACAAAATTGGCAAACATAAATAATTCATATTCGCATTGCCAAATTTGCTCAGCATCCACCCACACACATAGACAGTCTTTGGTGAGCTGTGATTGAGTTTTGTGTGCTGCCAACGTGAATGTAAACAGACAGCACATCATCATCACATCTGTTACATTTTATTTGTGGACTTAACAGACTGTGTATAACATTGCCTTAATTAATAGACAAAACATTGGCAAATAAATACAAGTTCGATAACTGAGCCGTCCTCAGCTGTGACCCGCAATTGAAAGCAATTGCTAGCATATGCAGGCCAATAAATTGGCTCAATCAATCAATCAATATTGCGTGCTGCCCTTCACAGAGACGAGAGAAAAGGCTAGCTCCTTAAAAACTCAAAAGGCGTAAAACATTTTGAAGCAAATGCTCATAAAATATTTTTATTGCATTGTTAACAGAATTCTTCTATGCAATACAATCAAATTTATTTATTTATATATATATATATATATATTTTTTTTTTTTTTATTGTAAATTTAATTGCAAGTGCCAGAATGTTCGCATTTCATGCTCAACGTTTGCTCTTCTTTGTTGCCATTTCAGAACAATGGCGCCCAGCAATTGGCATCGGAAGCGACCGTTTACATAATGCTCGAGGATGTTAATGACGAAATACCGTTATTCACCGAACGCGAACAGGAAACGGTGCTGGAGGGCGAGCCGATTGGCACCAAAGTGACGCAAGTGAATGCCATCGACAAGGATGGCACATTCCCAAATAATCAGGTGAGTAACGCGAAGCGCGAACAAATTGAGTGCAAACCATTTTAAGCCCTGCCCCTCAGATAGAGGGAGTGAGGGTGTGTGCAATGGGTACGGCTAACAGGTAATGTCAGTTGCGGAAATGCCAGGCGATTGTTGGCAAATGAATGACTCTGTGAACCATGAGGCGAACAAAAGCGACAAAAGGAAAAAAAAAAAAAATACGATGATGGTGATGTAAAAAGTTAAGAGTTATAAAGAAGAGTTGGCAATTGGCCGGGCGGTGCTGGCACCACTTTAAAGCGCCATTTGCTTAATGTGCTAGAAAAGCGCTTCAATCTACAGCGAC